TCCCTCCTAAAGTCCCTAGAGGTTGAGGGTTTAGGGTAAGGGTTTTAAAGGGTTTAGGGTTTTAAAGGGTTTGGGGTTTTAGGGTTTAGCCATTGGGGTATAGGCTTAGGGTGTAGGGTTTAGGGTTTGGGGTGTAAGGTTTAGGGTCTAGAGTTTGTGGATTAAGGTTTAGGGTTCGGGGTTTAAGGTGTAGAATTTAGGGTAAGGGTTTTGAAGGCTTTATAGGGCTTGGGGCTTAGGGCCGGGATCAATGCTGCAGGGTCTGGCGGTTGTAGCGGCTCGGATGCACAACAAGGCACTGGACGGCTCTTGGAGATCTTCAGCTGCAAGATTACGGTTTAGCATTCAGGGTTTTGTGGTTTACGGTTTAGGTGTTCAAGATTCAGGGTTTTGTCGGACAGGGTTTGGTGCTCGGGCTTGTACAAGACTCCTTGTGAGAATCGCAATGATTGAAACCCCAAATTTGCTGGAATAAGAGTTTACAAAAGGGACTCGAATGAGGTAACTTTAGGACAGATCCTCACATACAACAAGCAGGATAGGCAGCTAAACGAGCCTTGTATGAACAATCCTGATTGGTACTGGGCGTTCCCTGAAATGACCTAACCCCCTCCCCTTCGTAACAACCCGGCCGCCCATGTATTAATATCGGCACCAATCTAGTACCATTAATATGTGAGGGGAGCGATTTTTATTGTAAGGGGGCCGGCATGGTTCATTGTAAGGGGAGGTGGTTTATGGGGAGCAATGTTTGGCGTTTGGCCCTGAGCCCTAAACCCCTTAACCCCCGAACCCCTTGACCCCCGAACCCCTAAACCCCTAAATCCTGAACCCGTAAGCCCCAAATCCTAAACCCCTAAACCCTAAACCCAAGTTTAGGACTTGAGGAGTATTAGTCCCGGTGCCACAGCTTCCGCGGACTTAGGGTCTACTGGGTTTAGGGTTCCCGAAGAGAACCCCCATGAGGAATATGGACTTTCGTGATGGTTTGGGTCATTCCTCGTCCCCGAAGTCCTTAGAAGGGCTTTACTAAGGGGCTAGTATATTTTAACTACTAAGTACTACCATTTCTTGTGGTAACTGTTACTGTCAGGGGGAGGAACTGAATGATTGTGTAGCTACCATGGTAGTGCTGTGCTATTTGAGGCGGTCAGTCGGGAATATAGGAAGATGTCATATAGGGATTGCAGTATATAGGGATTATGTTCCTCTACGCCCTACTAGCAGCCAGTAAGATAGCAGAGCCATGACGCAGGCAATAGTAGCATGAGGCTTGATTTCATGGGAACTTCAATGAAGTAACCATAATGGGCATACATATGTACACACACCAAGTAAAAGGCTTCCCCATTACATTAATCTAATCCTTTAATTCCTACATTCCCCCAGTGTCCATGTCATTTCCACTTTCTTTTCCATTTGATTCTCCGTTATAGAGGGCTAGTATAGCTGAAGCTAGTTCCTTAACAGCAACCCAGCAGAGGGGTAGGACCGATCATGCTTGCATGGGCCTTAAGGTTGCTCCACATCAGCTTGGAACATATGAGCCATAGTCTAAACTCCTTAAAGGGGGTTAAATTTTAGGGTTTGGGGTTTGGGGTTTAGGATTTAGGGTTTAGGATTTAGGGTTTAGGGTCTAAATTCCTTAAAGGGAGTCATATAGACGATTATATAGTGGACTACTATGGGGGCTATTAAGGGGGGATACTAGGAGTTTAGACTATAACCCCTATAATCCCATACATAACCCTATATATAGCAGTTTCCATTTCATTTTCCATTTTCTTTTCCATTTGATTCTCCATTATTAAGGGGGATACTAGGAGTTTAGACTATAGCTCATGAGATGCTGCATGGGTATTTCCAAGCATTGGGGATGCACCTACCGTATGCAAGAGTACTACAGTCTTTTTGGCATCGTGGAATTTGCTATTCCCCCAAATCGCTGCGGGAGTCCATGTGCGAGTCTCTGAATTAGGGAGGTTGCTTAGCTAGGTTTTGGGTTTCTTGCGAGTCCTTTGCAGACGGTTGGGCTGCAGGTACATCATGCGACGCGGGACCCCGTACTGGCACCTCGGACTTTAGCCCTGAAGTCAATTCTGGCCGCGAGTTTACATTAGGGTTTGGTGTCGGTCTTCGGGACAAGTGGGACGGATTTTTATGATGGTCTGCTGGGAGTAGATGGGTTTCCAGTAGGAAGGATATTGAGCCTCCGTAGCTGTGCAAATGAAGCTGCTGTCTGCAGGTGTTGTGCTTCTACACTATGCACTAGTTCATACGGTTAATGCATGACCTGCTCATTGTTGTTCTTTGATTTTCGGGCATCTCTACAATAGTCGTTGTGCAAAGCGAGTCGAATTTTGCGCAGGTCTTCCTTGTTGGCATCTCGTTGAACAGGATAGCCCAGTTGACGAGATACAGCACTCATTGACTTCACTCTTAGGCTCCAAAATTCAAAGCCTTTGAGCTTTCTAGCACATTTTCTTCTGCTCCTTTCAAAATCCCTGAGCCCTACACCTTGAACCCTACACCCTAGGGAAGCCTGCGCACCCGTGCATGCTACAAACACGTACACCCGTGCGCGCGCCCTTGACTCTTCTTGTGCATGTGTGTTTGCAGCTGCGGCGGTGTGTACGAGGGTGTGGGCCGCAGCTCGAAATTGCTGCTAGTTTACAAAAGCCCGCCCTCCCGCCCTTGTAGATTTGCTTCTGGCAGTCCAAGGACGCCTTGTCAGTCTTACTGCGCGACCGTTGTGCGGGGTGTGTGCCTCCCCCCATGGTCAGCTGCTGCTGCAGCTGGCCTGGGGGGTTGAAACATGTGTGTGCGGTCCATTAAAACATGCGTTTGAGTGTGTGTCTTCCAGTGGTTGTCCGCGCGGTTGTAAGTGTTAATCGCATGCGCTTCCCCAAGCCATCATCCTTTCTGATCTTCTCGAGACGGGTGTGGTCGCGGAAGAATATGCGCCGTTGATGGTTTCTTGCGATGGGTTTAGGGCTTAGGGCGCAGACCCAACCGCACACCCGATCAACCCGCTTTCCTTTTCAGCCGCAGGTACTTCAGTGATGCGGGCGACCTCACCACGAAGCACGGGGCACCTTAGCCAATGGAAGGGGCGAGTGTAAAATCCAAAGCCCCAAGCCTTGAACCCTAAGATACCAAAACCGTTGGACACTCCAGCCTATTGACCTGAATGGTTTCTGGAGTCCAGTATAGTGTGTGCTTGGAGAGGTTTGGACACTCACGTAAACTCTGGGATGCCTGTGACGCATAAACATCCTGCATGGCCGTTATGATAAAGTATACTTCGGGTCATGCAGGATGTTGTCAATCAGCCGTGACATTAACTGCTCAGGTAGGGCGGGATTCCTAATTTTGGTGAGCCAGGAATGAAGGAATAGATCCATATGTAGTTGTTCCTATACTAAACCCTAAACCCTTAACTCCAAACCCGAAACCCCCACCCCCACATATCCCCGTTATAGTAGTTTCCATTTTCTTTTCCATTCCTTCGTTCCCTAGGAATGAGAGGTATGATCTGGGGACTTTGGCGTTTTTTGGAGTGGCACGCCTGCCTGGTTTAGGGTTTAGGTTTAGGGTTTAGGGTGTAGGGTTTAGGAAGCCTTCGTACATCTTAGGTTGACGCATTTTGGAGTACCGAACCATGGGAAGTCAGTCTTAGGCTTCCTTTTAATGGGGTCCTTGTATTTTGGAGTTTACATTGGTGTCCTGGAACTCTGCTAGGAGGGTCGTGAGGACTTGGTAAGCATACATATAACCACAATAAAGCCAGCCCCTTTAGGTCCTATGGTAATCCCAGGTTACTAAAACCCCCTTATGGAGAGCCCAAAGGAAGGTCTCAAAGTTTTTATATATATATATATGTCTATTTGTGGGCAACGCCCGAAAACCCTATGTGGAAGTTTTTATATGAAACGACCACGGCTGGCTTAAAGACCTTCCGCAAAAGGTCGCGATGGTGCTCGCGTAAGGAACTTGAAAGAAGCATCGTAAGATACAGTTCCTTTACTTACTTTCAAAAACACTTTTCTTCTTGCAGTCCGCAGGCATACTTCCAGGCATGCTAGGGTTGCAAGTCTGTCTGATGCACAGGCTCAGTCTCAGAATTCTTACCTGAAAATCCGCGAAAGATCCGCGAAAGAACCGCGAAAGATCCGCGAAAGGTCGCGTAGGCCGAGCAAGCCCCCAGCATTGCAAGCCATGGGGGACGACATAGCTTCTGCAATTCGGTGTCGGAGTTTAAGGCGTGGGTAAGTTCCAACCCCACTTCAC